CAGGCAAATAAAAACAACTAGCTAGTTTATTAATCAGGGCACGCGGAACTGCGTCTCTCTTTCAAGATGCTGCTTAAGACTACTGCAGTGCTTGTAATGAGTATTTGCCTAGGTGTTGTATATGTCCGTCCCAGGAACTGCTCATAAGCGAGACCTAGATTAGCGTACTAATAAGATATACAGGTCAAATAAATAACTGGTTCAAAGGAATTTGAGTGTTTGACAGTCAAATTACTGTTGCATCACAATTTGCCAATTAGGTGATGCTAGGCTTATAGCTGTAAATGCTAAATTGTTTCTGAAACTGATTTAGGGACATGAAAAAAGTGAATTTTGTCCGTTTAATTTGAAATTAGATTTAAATTGGCAAAGTGAGCAGTTTCGTTCAACAGTAGAGTTTCAAAAGCCATTCGGGCAATCCCATTGTAAGGATGGTATCATCCAGCTAAGGCTCCTTTCTCCTTCTAATCTGTATTATCTGTTATCAAAACATTCGCTGGAGCAATGTGGAAGGCAGCCATTCATAACCACACCGCTCTCAAAGAGGATTTTTTGTGAGTATAAGAAGTTTAAAAGGCGCTTAAATAGGGCTTATAATATTGGAGTAACTGCTGTGGCAGTACTAAAAGGCCGTACGATCCCTGTAACAACAATGAGAGGAAGAGGTGGTTAGAGGCAACAGAAGGGAGGAGCGTTGCGCTGAGAGTCGTGGGGAGGGGTTCAGACGACAGGAATGGGATTCGGGCGGAGAAGGGAGGAGGAAAGAAGAGGGGGAGGGTACGAGAAGAGAGAAGGTAGTCCTACCGCAACTGATCATGATTTTAAACAATACACAAATTTTATTAAGCTACACTAATTGGATTTAAAAGTTCTCTGAACCTCCCATCTTCTCCTGCCGCCCCGCACACCTCTTTGCGTGCAACTCGCCTCGTCCCTCTCCAATCCGTTCGAAATAAATACTGATGCTTCGGGGTAATCAGGATCATCTACCCGATTTACCCGACCAATCCGGCTCTTTGGTGCGTCTAAGCCAGCCTATTAGCCAAGCTCAGCTGCCACTTGACAAATGTGATCATACCTCCACCATTTAGCCACTGAAAATAGACCCTGAAAAAGTTAGCGCAGAAATAGATAAGAGCTTTAGATGCGATAGAGAGGGGCAAAGAAGGACAGGAAACGTGGCAAACCCTCCCCCCTCCCGGAATTTATCTCATACTTCCTCTCCTCTAGCTTTGTTAGTGATGTTCCGGATCAGGACAACGGCTATTGGACTAGTCCGATAGATCAGCGGAGACAAACTTTTATCCGAATAATTTGTAAAAAATTCTCCCCAATCGAGTCTGTAGATGCATGCGAAACAAACGGCGGAAGGATGCTTATGCATTGAAAGTGAGGAGAGGAGGGAAGTGGTGATGGTTACGGTATGTGGGCAAATATGAGTAGTTATCGCTGGATGCGGGAAACAGAGGGGGATGTCATCATCGTCATCATCATCATAATCATCACCACCACCACCACCACCA